TGCACTGTTTATGATGTTGGAGATTTTAAAAATATTTCCCCCACCAGACCACAAGCTTCTCAGGGACAGAGATTATGGCTGATAGTTCTGTATTCTCCACAGGACCTAGCACAGAGTTTATAAGATTATGTGTATTAACTATGTTGATTAAGGCAGCCAGAGTCCTCAAAAAGCCATGGCAAAAAAAAAAATTAATAGAGTTATTTTTCCTTTATGCTTACTTTTAATGTGTGGAGAGCTTTAGTGACTACAGATGGAGCCTTCTCACTCTCCTTTAAGTTCCTACTCATAGGCAGGTAAGAAGCTATTTGCTGATGAGATAAGACAGTTTTACCCTTTGCAGAATGGCAGCCAAGAAAAATAAAGGGTTGAGATACTTTTAGAAGTAGACCACGAGGACTAGCTTCTTTCTGAGTTCCAGATAATAGTCTTAATGATACTCTGAGACCTTGGGTGGTGCTGGTTTCTACCCATAGAATATGTCTGACCACTTGTGCTTTCTAAATTATTTTGCATTTCTCTCAAGTTTCTACAGGTATGAATTTTCTGAGTTAAAAGGGTAGGTACAAGGAATACTGATGATAAAACCCAAATCAGAAGACAACATCATAGGGAAATAGCAAGCAGCAGAAATGTATTAGTTAACATATCCAAGTTTGCATTTTTGCTTAATGCTTCCAAACAGGGACTTTAAACTACTGTCTACAGTCCAATCCAATTATGTGACTTTTCTGTGAATGCTCCCTAAGTAGCTGGCTGTCCTGGCTATATGGTGATTAACATAACAGATCTTGCTATGGCACTGATGAAGCTAATGGCACAATGGGTGAAAAAGCCAACAGACAAGTAAACACTTAAATTACAAATGTTGATGCTATGAAGGAAGGAACTGAAAGTATGAGAGTTTATAATGATGTGCATGTTTACCTAGATAGTATTGGCAGTGAAGGTCTCTCTGACCTGCAAACTGAGATTGAAAGAAACCAGACATGTGAGGCCCTGGAGGGGGGTAATTCCAGACAGAAAATAAATGTGCAGAGGCCTTCGTCAGGAAAAAACTTGGCTTGTTCTAGAAACTGAAAACATCTCAGTGTAGTTGAAATATAGAGAATGAGGAAGAGAATGGAATGCAGTGATGTTGAAGGGCACAAGAGACATATTAGCTACAGCTTTTAAGCTACGGTGAAAAGTTTGGCCTTCATACAATAGAAAGCCAGCAAAGGATTTTAGGGAGCAGAATGACATATTTCAAAGAAAGATTATTTGGGCCACAGTATAGAAAGTGTTAGAAGGGGTTAATAAGTGCCACAGCAAAGGTAAGGGAGTATGGAAACAAGGGTAGTTTCCAATTCTAATATACTATCTCTACACAAATCAAGTTTTGTGACTGTTGCAATTTATTTAACCTCTTTTGGTCTCAGTTTCCTCATCAGTGATATGGAAATAATCATAGGGCTGCTATGAGGATTAATGAGATAATATATGAAGAGTGCTTAGCCTGTAAATAAATGGTATCTCTCAATAAATGGTAGTGAAAATTAATGTTAGTGTTAGATACAGTATGGGGAATGGATTGCAGGGGTTAAGACTGGAGTGAAGGGAGTATGATAAATCAATCTCTTTCAGTAGTCAAGAGGAAAGGTGACAGTGGCCTAGATTAGGATGGCAACAGTGGAAGTATAGATGGATTGGAGAGATATTCAGGAGGGAGAATCACCTGGTTTCTGATTGAATATGGAGGAAATGTAGTGATAAGCATTAGCAAAATTCTTACTTTCCAGCTTGAGTGTCAGAGAAAAGTCATGATACTTATTGAGAAGGGAGGCTCAGATTCAGGAATGAATCACCAATCTTACACATTTTTCTGAGACAGGAACCAAAGATATATCTAGGTTTAGGGGGAGAAAAATTGGCAACATAGGTGGCACAAGCCAACTAGAAATAGTCAACAACAGAACTAGAAGCAAAGAGAGAGAAACAGAGACAATGGCAGAAGCAGAGACAGAAGGAATGTACTTCAACCTTAACCCTTCCATTCAGCATTTTTCTATTAGTGGCTTCTTAGGTTGTTCTCCTTTATTAAATTTCGGAAATGTCACAGATTGTCCACAGTAAGCTAAATATTTCCTGAGAGAGCTTATATTTCTGTGCTACCCAAACCAAATTCCTCCAGCTTCACCCTACCATGGGAATTTTACATTTAATTGTCACCAGATTTGGGGCAAAATCATCCTATCTTCATTTCAGTCTGGAAAAGAGATTTTGGAAAGCAGACCATGCAAATCTCTAGGCTCACAATAAACTGTGAATTGCAGAGGAATACACCCCCCCACTACACACACATACACACACACACACAAGATGTGAGCTTGATCTCTAGTTCACTGTTCTGGCTTAATAAGTTTCTGTTATTTAACACAGAGGTGTGAATGGAACATCCACCTTTAGTAAGTGAAACTTTCTACACCAATGAAGCAGGAACAAATCCCCTTGTCTATAAAGTACAAAAGTAGAAGTGTGATTTGGGTGGGTGTGAGATGTTCTCAATTCTTGGAACTGTAGTGCACTTGATGACTCTTCCCTTGGTTTCTCATAGTTTTTGCATGGATAATAAATAGATAATAGTAGAAACATTGTCAATAATGAACTCAAAGTGGGTGTTGAAGAAGGATGGGTGTTATGTGTGGGGACAGGTGTTTAGTTATATTATAATAGCCTAACTAGAGTAATCCTAGTGTTATAAGATTATAAGGTCCCACTATGGGATTAGAAATGTTCTTCTATAATGTGCCCTCCAGATGTCATAAGCCCCATTCTATTAAGTAGCCCCTCCTAAGCAGAGAGAAGAAAGTGGTGTAGTGGAAATTGCATAGGCTTTGGAGAAAAGAAGCCATAATAGTATATCCCATTTTTACTATTTTCTAGGTTTGTTACCCTAGAAAATTTACTGTATCTCTCTGAACATCAGTTACCTCATCTACACTACAAGAGTAATAATAGTACCTATCTCTGATGATAGCTATGAGAATGAAATTGGATAATGCACGTGAAAAATTTCATTGCAGATTCTGGGGTGCATTCCTGATAGTCACACCATGATAATTATTTTCTCTTTTCATCTGTGAACAACACTCCACATTCTGTTCAAAGTCATACATACATAAGTAAGATGACTGCATGACTTTTTAGAACATATCACAAGCCAAGTAGCAAGGATGAAATATTAGGGGAGGGAAAGTGAAAGTACTCTTTAGGGGTGCCTGGGTGGCTCAGTCATTGGGTGTCTGACTTCAGCTCGGGTCATGATCCCAGGGTCCTGGGATCTAGCCCCATATCGGGCCCCCTGCTCAGCGGGAGGCCTGCTTCTCCCTCTCCCACTCCCCCTGCTTGTGTTCCCTCTCTCGCTGTGTCTCTCTCTGTCAAATAAATAAGTAAAATCTTTAAAAAAAAAAGAAAGTACTCTTTAGAATAATGGTAGGTCAGAATGTTGACTTTTTTATATGCGATTTAATCATTTGGGGTTCTGTTTTTAATTCACATTTCTATTCCCTGGAATAGGACTTAAAATGCTATAGGAAGTCATTCGGCTACTTATGAGGAGAATCTAAAAGCAACCACTCCTTTGTTTTGTAAACTTACTTAAAACAAAACAGAAATAATTAAAGCAACAAAAATGTTATTTCACCTGAGGAGCAACCTCACTACTGTGTTCCACTTCTAGCCCTAAATGCAGTAAACATTCTTGCAATATGAACAGAAGCTATGTTTGTAAAATTTGTTTGGGGGAGGAAAACAAATGAAGAGAAGGGTGTTTATAAAGATTAGGCACCTTGTAATCCCATTTGAAGTCCCAGATCTTCTGTTTAGTATCTTTTTGGCCTTAATAAACCTCTTTTGGTCTTACCTCTACATGTATTATGTGAAGGCTGAATTAAATGATTTCTTAAAGGTATTTTTCAGTCTAAAATTCTCCAAGAGTGTTAAACTAAAATAATGAAGTCATTGCTCTCTTATTATTTGCAGGCAGACTGTGTAAATCCATGACCAGACTTTGAGAAACCCTAAAGATTACTTTATTTTCCCCATGTTCTATATATATTACATAATAAAAACCACACTAAATCATAAAATAAAATTAAGGACATTCATATTTTTTTCTTATGATTATGACTATTTTAATGAAAAAAACATTAAACTTTAAATTGTTTCCAAAAAATGATTTTGTGGCCTATTTTACTGGCTCCTTAATCAATGTTTACTGTGACCGTTGGATCATCTGCCATGTCCATGATGTCACACCAGTACAGAATTCTTAGGGAGAAAATTAGTCTCTTCCCTTTCAGATCACAAAGGGGAATTCCTAGTTCAGATTCTGATTTTGTGTATTAATGATGTTTTTCATGTAAATTGGAATAAGACCTAAGCCAGAGAGAGAGAGAGAGACAAAGTGTATGAGAACCACTTATGCTATTGTGATAGAATGATAAGAAGTTAGTGCTCCCAAGTCCTGAAACTCAGCCAGTATACTGGCAATGTGGGCTAAAGGTGCAGGGCCATTTTCCAAGTGCTGTAGGAAGGAAGGTAGGAAGTCAGAAACCAAAGGAGAAGAAAGGGGATGTAAAAGGTAAAGCTGGATTTCTATAATTGTAATTGTAAATGAGCAGGGCTTGTGTCAAGAAAAATTTGGATGCAAAAAGAACTGACTGAAATGCCATACCCTTTTTGTTGTGATAAGAACAATAAACTAAATATTTCAGGACATCCTTGCCTACAAGACACAACTTAGACAATTTGGGAGGGCAGTTTGGAGACAATTCCATGGTTTCCTGATTCATTATGTGACCTTGGATCAGTAGTATATATTCCTTGAGCATCTGCTTCTTCATCTGAAAACAGGTCTTTTCTAATTTTAATACTCTGTTTCTTTAAGTATAAAAAGGAATCTGGGTGTTGGCTATAGAACTGGTTAGTCATTATACTCTTTTTCTTTGATTAAGCAGGGATTATAACTCCACGGCTTACCTTGATGAGTATACTGAAATATTCAAGATGGTTAGCAACAGTACCAGCAATGCTGAGACTGACTGCAATGCTACTGATGTGACATTTCAGAACTCCCTCTATGCAGCCACCTACATCCTCATATTCATCCCTGGTCTTCTGGCCAACAGTGCAGCCTTGTGGGTTCTGTGCCGCTTCATCAGCAAGAAAAATAAAGCCATCATTTTCATGATCAACCTCTCTGTGGCTGACCTTGCTCATGTGCTGTCCTTACCCCTCCGGATTTACTATTACATCAGCCACCACTGGCCCTTCCAGAAGGCCCTTTGCCTGCTGTGCTTCTACCTGAAGTATCTCAACATGTATGCCAGCATTTGTTTCCTGACGTGCATCAGCCTACAGAGATGTTTCTTTCTCCTCAAGCCCTTTAGGGCCAGAAACTGGAAGCGTAGGTATGATGTGGGCATCAGTGCTGCCATCTGGATCATCGTGGGAACTGCCTGCTTGCCATTTCCCTTTCTGAGAAGCACCTACTTAGCCAACAACACTGAGTCCTGTTTTGCTGATCTTGGTTATAAGAAAATGAATGCAGTGGCTTTGGTTGGAATGATTACAGTTGCTGAGCTGGCAGGATTTGTGGTCCCAGTAGTAATCATCGCATGGTGTACTTGGAAAACTACTATATCCTTGAGACAGCCACCAATGGCTTTCCAAGGAATCAGTGAGCGGCAGAAAGCACTGCGGATGGTTTTTATGTGTGCTGCAGTCTTTTTCATCTGCTTCACTCCTTATCATATCAACTTTATTTTTTACACTATGGTGAAGGAAACCATCATTAGTAGTTGTCCCATTGTCCAAAGCACACTGTATTTCCACCCTTTCTGTCTATGCCTTGCAAGTCTCTGCTGTCTTTTGGATCCAATTCTTTATTATTTCATGGCCTCAGAGTTTCGTGACCAACTATCTCGCCATGGAAGCTCTGTGACCCGTTCCCGTCTTATGAGCAGGGAGAGTGGTTCATCAATGATTAGCTAAAAATAAAATAACTCTTCAATTATGACTTTAACTATGTTTCCTAGCTTCTCCCAAAGGCCAGAATGACCAGCCAAACAATTGGCTTAATGAAAGTTTGAGAACAATGGAAATCTTGTGTGATAGTTGTGGTCATAGGGATGTAATGGGGGTGACAGTGTGTAAGAAGTGTGGGAGAGGTAGGGAAGATAGAATTTGCCTGTTTCCTCTTTGAAATTCAAGATACTTTCTTAAGAAACTTAGCTCAAGTTTTGACAGATGTTTTCAAGCAAATGAAAATTGGATTATTTTACCTTAAACATTTCTTTAGAAAATATATTGTTAATAAGATACAATAAATACATGAATCTTTTTCCAAACTGTAAATGCAAATCTCTTTTATATGAAGACTTTTACTTGTGAATGAGAATAAAATTCTTCAGTCTTTCTAAGAGATAAATGCACAGGCAAGGGGGAGTGACAATTGAAGTAATGTGTGCATAAATTTCAGGGCCACAAACCTATTACTGAATAAAGGGCATGGAAATTTGTTCATTCACCAAAAATGTATTGAATGCCTGTTGTATTCTGGGTTATCAATTTCTTGGGTACTTCCACAATATAGCAAGCATCTCATCTGGCCCTTCTAATAAACTTGTGGAAATTTCCAATACAAATGATAGGTAAAACCTCAGAGAGGGGAAGTAACTTGCCTGAGAATAAACAGTGGTAAGCTAAAATTTGTCCTGTATACACCGCATATGCTTAAGTTATTCCCTCTGTTTGTGTTGTTACTTTTGCTAAGTCAATATTAAACTTGACTTAAATGGTGAAGACACAGACCAAAGCAAAGCTGCATGAGACCAAGACCATTTCTACACAATTTGCTTGAGATTATCTGAAAAGTCTGGGTTATAGGAATGGCAGATCAGGCTTCCAGCCACAAAGCATCAAATGATAAATAGATAGTTTTTTTCTAATACCGTCCCAATCTACAATTTAATGATTAGAGATATAGGAAACCCAAATAGTTCATTATTTCCTACCAAAGATATTTTAAGTAGGTAATAGAAAACCCATAAATAGATGAAATAAAGAAAGAAAGAAACTGACAGATGTAGAAGTTCTTTATATATTTTGGATATTAACCCCTTATTGGATATATCATTGCAAATATCTTCTCCCATTCAGTAGGCTGCTTTTTTGTTTTGTTGATGGTTTCCTTCACTGTGCAAAATCTTTTTTATTTTGATAGTCCCAAGAGTCTATTTTTGTTTTTGTTTCTCTTGACTTAATTGACATATCTAATGTTGCTGGGGGGGGGCAAAAAATCTGAGAGATGAACATTCTGTGAAATTTAGATTTTTTTGGAGCTTGCCCAACTTCTTTCTTTTAAAACATTACTATACATCACTGAATAAATTTGTGTTTATTAAGAAAGTTCTGTCAGTAGAGCTCACAGAATTTCATTAGAAACAGAAAACATTATCACATCATAAATGAATGGGAGGAAAAGCATGTGTCCTCCTTCTGGCAATCTCTTTATCTTCATTTTTCTAGTGGTTATATCTATTATTTCAGAGCCATTATGGAGGATTTGAATATAAGCAATCCTCAGCTTCTCAGTTTGGCATTTATGACACTCAATACATCACTTTCATCACTTATGCCTGAAATTTAAATAGCACAGGCACTTTGCATGCCAGAAGGAGAAGGGAAGTGCATGTCTTCAGTATATCCATTTGAATAGACTGGCTGAGGTGAAGGAAGGAGGGAAAACTAAAACAGAGAAATTAAAAGAAGAACAAGGTTTCTAGGGAGGAAGAGAGTTCTGTAATTATAAATTAATGAAACTGGTTTTCTTGTGCTTTAATAACCTACCTCTGAAAGCACTGCTTAAAGAAGGTTTCCAGATATGTTTGGAGTTAATGGAAGCATTATCAGAATGACTGTCTAGACGGCCCCACTCTAAGAATATAATTTTGAAAGAAAACTATTTGGAAGTACACATCCTGCTGTTTTCAGAGAAAAGGTATTTCAGTTCTAAATACACCTACTTTGAAGTTGCTGCCTAGAGATAGAGCTTTGAACACAGGATTTGTAGCTAAGTGGGCTAATTAATATATGTACCTTTCATTTGGCCACCATTAAAGTGGACTCTGGGCTTTTTTGACATATGAATTCCTATTGTGATGAGAGAGAAAAATATAGCATCAAAGCAAGTAATGGCTGGTTCTTGAATTTTAAAGGCTGGGATGCCTCATACAATGCTGACAGAAAGATGACAGTGTTTGATCTTATGAGATAACAGCTCCGTAAATCAGTGAGATTGCTTTAATATTACAACGAGCAATTTTAACACTTATCTGTATGCTTATTACAGAGACATGATGCAAGACAAATAAGATGGGAAAATATATCTCCTTGAATCAGCTTTTCTAAAAAGTCACCAAAAATCTATATATTTGCCTCCATATCTCTGCAAGATACTTGTCAAAATTCACTTAGATACCATTCAGAATCTTATAATACTGATAAAAGACTCCTTAACCTGATAGTTTCAGTAAAAAGAAGGAAGAAGTTTTGAGAGATAAAATAACTTTGTACAATAATCTATATGACCTTAAATGCAGTTTATGCATGATTGGTTATGCTGTTCACTTTTAGAAAGTTTTAAATACGAGCACAGAGTACAGATATAACAGTTATCATAGATTAAATAAATTATTCTTATGTAGCATGTGGTCATTTCTATAAAAATGTTAAGCATAATACTCTTATTTGAAAATTTAACTTCCCTACAATAAAATTGCTACTGTAAGTAAATCATTTTTCCTTACATTCTTTTGTGCATTTTATAGGACTATAACCCATAATAAAAGTAAAGTTAGTGCTTATAAATATAAACTTAAAACTGCTTTCCACTTTTAAGTAGTATTTAGGTGTCATATTAACTCTGACCAAATACTAAGACTTTAGGTGCATTACAAATTCAATATGTAATTACAAGTAAAAGTATGCTATTATCCTCTAAGGTTCTGAAACAGGTAATTAATCTCCCAGGGTTCAAAATTTACCACACATGAATAATTAAGGTATTCTGAGAATTTTCAATGTACAGAATTGATAAAGTGGAAAGGGAACAACTAGTTTACAGAAGCTGAATTCCAAATCGGTTACTATGGGGAAAGGAAGTAGCAAAATTCCAGTAGCTGTTATTATAGACTAGCAGATTTCCTGATTTTTTGGAGTTGGGGGTAGATTTCCATGACCTGATAATTTCCATCTGAATTGAGTCTTACATGATGGCAATGTTTTCAAGTTGTTGCCAAAGAGGAAGAGTAAACATTCTTATTGGAAACCCTCTTGCACCAAAGGTAGAAAGGGAAATAAAGCTGGGAGGTGACTAATACTGAATACTATAGTTTGGCTAGAAATATACAGGGGAGTAGGAAGTAATGAGGTGGTAAATTTTACAGATTTGGTTCCAGTTCAAAGTGCCAACATTGGAAGAACCTGAACTCACCTCCTCCCAAGGACATATCAAATCTAGAGCTATATAGCGAATAATTTTCTATGGGGAAAACAAAAATAAAAACTAAACACTGGCAGAGTGACCACTTTACATTTGAAAATGTAGGGAAACCACATCAAAGTGGTAAAAGGAAAGCTGAGATGCAATCTCACCATAAACTCCTACCCTGCCTCAGTGATCCACAACTGAGGCGGGGAGGGATTCAAAATCTGGAGCTTCAACTTGAGGAGCAAAGTGTTTATACCCCATATTGGGCACCCCAATTTTTAAGACTGATATGTGAGAGACAAGCCTCAAAAACATCTGGCTTTGAAGATCAACAAGCCTCAACCCCATGAGACCCTCGGGGCTGTGACAAACTGAGAAACAGCTCTTAAAGGCCTCTTTTGCACAGTCACCCATTTTAGGGCTCAGTACAAAGCAGCCCCTTGAAAAATGTCTAGACTTTATATGAAACAGATTAATTTGCAAAGTTTAGAACATTGGTCTGAGGGTCAAGTATCTGCTGAAATACTCTTAATACTTTTTAGGGACCGAGGCAAGAAGACAGTATCTTCCTGCTCTCCCTCAGGCCTACTAAAGTCAGCGGGCACCATCTATTTTTTTTTTTATTCTTACTTTCTTTATTTTCCTTTCCCTTGTTACTTTTTAGGTTTCTGTTTTTTCCTTTTTTTTTTCTTTATACAGCAGTTTCTACCTTTGTACTCCTTCTTTACTTCACTGCAGCCAGTGGAAACAATCTTTGCACTCTCCCTCTGTCACATTCCAGAGCATTAGTATCTTCTGGAAGAAAGCTTCCACACATATCTGGTGCCCAAGTTTTTACATTTGGTGACCCGACTTTTGTGGCTGTTGCCTAAGGGATGTCTCTTGATCACCTGACTCTGGAGACCTAGCAGGCTTTCAGTTTTAAGTCCCATGGGACTGTAATAATTGAAGAAACAGTTTGTGGTATATTACCACTACCAGGATATTGCACAGATTATCAGGTTGAAATACACACTTAGTCTTTCTGAGAAAGAGGACTACTTGGGTGTGATCTTTATACTCCCTTGCCTTGCTCCAGCTTATTGGTATCTTACATAAAGGAGTTTATACCATTTCTGGTGCCATGATTTTGTGGCTGCTGCCAGAGGGCACCTTTACATTGCCTGGCTCTGGTGGCTAGCAGGGCTTACACTCACTAGTCCGACAGAACTGTATCCAATAGAGGAAGCATTCTTTAACAGCTACCACCCTGAAGGCACAGCAAGGGACAACAGACCCAAGACCTCACTCTTTCTATGAAAGAGGTTTAATTAGCTTATTATCATAGCTGCAGTTTGAACATTAAGTTTCTAATTAAGCATATATCTAAGGCCTGACTGTAAACCTTTCTTGAGACCTTAGAGGGTGGCACTATTTTCATGCTCTTCCTTTGCCAGGCTTCAGAGTGCCAACATCTCTGAGGTAGCGTATATATGTACCTGGTGCCCCAGTTTTTATATATGGTGCCCTGGTTTTTGCAGCTGCCACCCAGGGGATAACCCTTGAATACCTGGCTCTGGTGGCCAGGGAATCTTATGTTTCTAGGCCCCACAGGTCTGTAACAATCAGAAAGATAGTTCTTGGAAGGCTACTACCCCCAAGGCACTGCACAGACAGCAGACTGAAATACACACCCAGCTATTCTGTTAAAGAGGCCTACTTGCTTGTCCTGGAACTTCAGTCTTAGGGGCAGGTTTAAGGTTTGGCACACGTCTAGGAGCTATAAAGTTGCTCTCAGAAAACATAGCCTGGGGAACACTACCATTGTGCTGTCCCTCTACCTCACTATAGCTCATTGGCGTCTTCCAGAA